AAAACAAAACTGTCCTAACTCAAAGAAGCATAATTTAAACACTTAAAATACTAACGTGTTGTTGATGTGTGTAAAGTGTGTAGGTGTGTTTGTGTTTGATAGCTAGTGCTCAGACTAAACAAAAATATAGTTACTTAAGACAGAATGAGTGTTGTTTAACTTGGAATCTTGTGAACCAATAACAAATTGCTTAATTTTTTCCTATGCTATTGAAAAGCTTTTCTCATCTGTTTCCCACCCCTAGAACAGTTCCCAAACTGTAGAATATTATGAATTATAGGGAAGGCCTCGTATGCTTTCCCCTAGACTTGTGTTTGGTTTTGAAATATAACCTAAACTATAAATAAAATATAACACATTTTATATATAACATATAGCACACCATTATTACATGTGTACATCGAATAATCAGCCTTTAAACAATTTAAATTGTCAGCTTTTAAAAAATTATAAATTGGAAGGATATAACATTTTTATGCTAAACATGAGGAAAGAAAGAACCTTCATCCCAAATTAAACAGTTATTTGCAATTATTTTATTCCTGAAGAACCATCCTCTATCAGGCAACCCAGTTTTGCTGTTTTGCTTCTGAAAAGTCCTTAATACCAGAGTTTTTCTTCTGCAGGTCTGAGTCAGTGAGGATTTAAATCCTGACTTCCCCATAAAAATTAGAATCTGTTTAATAAAATAGATTAGACATCTTTCAAGCTATGGTCCTAGGTGGATAGGTAAGACATAGTCTTTGTTGGAAAAGATGAAATTGCAAGAAATAATTAAGTAGGATTCTGAACTCTTTATATTTAATTAGTAAAGATGACCTCATATTGCTAGTTTCAAGGCCTGTATAGATCAATATTAAATACATTTTTATTTGATATCACCTCTATGTACATATACTAAGTATGTTAGGTATATGTATCATTTAACATTAAACTAAATTTCATCCCATAATTAAATATTATTGCCTAATATACTTAGGCAGTAATTAAATAGTTATAAAATAATTAATTTACTATACCAGTGATTATTCTGTCAAGCTTCCCCATCAAGCAAAATGAAACTCTGAAATCAATTTCTCATATATCTGAAGCCTTAAGGGTGATCAATATTCAATGCAATTGATTAGAAACAACAACAAAACACATGAATGTTTTCAGTGTTGCTGATTTATATTGACATAGTCATTCTCATCTTTAGTACTTTATCTCAGATCATTCGATAAAGCATAAGATCATCCTGCATCATAACCACAATCCACAACCATAGCCATAGTTTGAAATGGTGTTTTTCTTACTCAACATAAATCACTCTCATTTTTTAATTTTTAGACTATTTCAGCCATTTTGCTCAAAGAGAGGTAATAGGAACCATAACTGAAAGGTTATACTGATTTCACATCACCTGGGAATTACGTGGTTAGAGAAGGTGAAAGAGAAGAAAAGGAGAGTTTCATTGTCATGTACCTGCAGAGGTTACTGCCCATTACTTTAGATGAGGCGTTCACATTCATGTTATTTATTTATAAGTTGGTATTTCCAAACTATATTTTCATAAAACTGAAAGACAATCCTCTCTGTCCAATATCGAGAAGCTCTGCTTTTCCATGTTACAGCACTCTCTGTGTTTTGTAATATTGTATATAACTATTATGTCCCTTTGGTCTTTAATAGGCAGTAAGATTATTTAAAATAAAACAACAAAAGGCAACAACTCAGGAATGACTTTCTACCTATATCAGTGTTCTTCACTAGTATAAATGCAATGATTCATGATGCGTTTTACTGGGATTTGAAATTTTACAGGAGTCATCAAGACCGCCCTTCCAAACATGGATAGAGAGGCTAAAGACCAGTATTTGCTTGTTATTCAGGCAAAGGATATGGTTGGTCAAAATGGAGGACTCTCGGGAACTACATCAGTCACCGTGACCCTAACTGATGTCAACGATAACCCACCTCGCTTTCCTCGAAGTAAGCTATTTTGTTAAATGCTGCAAGTGCCCTAACTTTCCTTGCCAGTCTATAAAAATGTCTTTTAAAAGGAATTTTTCCAAATACTTCTCTAGCAAGTGATTATCTTACTACATTCTCCCACAATTTTGTTTTATCAGGGGCATGGTCTTAATTCAGAAATGTGGAATAATAAGGGTATTGAAAATGAAAAGAGGCAATCATATCTTTATTACTTCTGTCTTCAATATAATACAGTTTTCTTTGGTTCACATTTTTAATACCAGTTATTAAGTTTATTTATATATTCATCTTTTCATTCTAAGATATTCTTTGTACACATTCTGTACATTACAAGGTTGTTGCCAATTGTAACCTTCAGATACATTTCATGCATTCTATACACCGAAAGTATTGATTCATTTTTAAAGATAAAAATAGAAGAGCACTAAACTTTTTCATTTTTTACTCCACACTTTTTTTTTTTTTTTTTTTACCACTTCATGCACATTAAACATTGCTTTAGCAGTTCTATCATCTCTTTCTTGTGCAAATACTCGGTGTTTCTAAAGAAGTCAATTCAAAGAACCAGAAAACCACATGCCCTCAATTTAGTTTCTATGACCAAAGTGGCTTTTGACTTAGCCAAGAAAAGGGGGGGGGTGAATTCTAGGTAAAAATGTCTTGATTATAGAAAAGCATTTCATCTCACTGTCTTTTAGTTTTTCTTTTTTCTTTTGTAAGTGTATGTGGTATTTCTTTACAACTCTCAGGAAAATAAGGAAATTGTATAGACTGTGATGTCTCTAAAATGTTTGTTTGATAGACATGAGTAATGAAGCTCCCTTACAAAAACAGATCTTAGAAGCGAACAATGTCAAAGAAGCTTTCTCTGCAAACATGAAAGTCACTGTGTTTTCCTGCAAATACTCTGTCTTTGGATGTTTCATTTTTATTTTACATATTTTAATATGTAATATTATTATATGATATTGTTATACAACAGACATTTTAATACTTCTTAACAAAATAAAGTTTACTCTAAGTTTAGCATTCATAAAAAATGAACTCATCCTTACCGTGCCCTTGATAGCTTGTAATGGGAGAGGAGAGGAAGGTTGTCGAATAAGCAAAACAATAATGTAATTATATTGGGCTCATAATAAAATTAACTATTTTTTTTTAGCCTAGAATGGTAAGAATTGATACTTAGAATTTTCATTATTTCAGTTGTCATGATTTGATAAGATACAGTACAGGTTTTCTAGCGTATATTAGATACTCTCCTACTTATTAAAGTGAGGGAAGCCAAGGGTATGTCATTAGGGTTTTCATTTTTGCTGGGATTCTCTCTACCATATGTAGTTAATATTCTATCCTTAAAATTTCTGGATTTTACTAAGGATGCTTCTGGATCTGTAAAAGGGGTCACTCAAAAGTCATCAGCATATCTTGTCATTATTTTTTTTTTAATCAGTGACTGTTCACAAAATGTAGAAAATTGCTAACAATAGTAATTCTGAGCTGAAAAATGGGGTCCCTTCAGTTCCTTCGAAGAGAATCTTTTTCTCTTCATAAGAAAGTGAAAGTACACCACATTTAACAACCTGAAGGGAATGGAATAGGTAGAGGAAACAGGAAAAAACAGATGATTAGAGAAAAATGGTTCTGAGGAGTTTTCTAGTTTCAAAGGGATGATTCATGGTCATCTGCTTTCCAAACTGTGTTTTGTTTGTTTGTTTTTTTTGGTTTTTTTCTTGACTTGCAGGATGGTGAAGAGGAATTTTTACAAAAGAAAGTTAAAAAGCTTCTCTTTCTATTTTACTTTTCTTTCCTTCTGTTCAAATAATATCACGTCTGCTCTTGTGCCTTTGTGTCCCAAATCATACAACCCACAGAGATAACTCTCATTCCTGATAAATTTATGAGCTGAAACAAGGCTAATGTGGTCTTTCATCAATGTCCTTGTCCAGTTGTCTGAAACTTTCTTAGTAAAAGACACTGTTATGTACATCCTAACAATAAGTAATCAGAATTATTTAGGCTTGTATTTGCCCACTTGAAACCTAAGCTATACTGTTTTTATTTTTTAATATTTATATTATTATATTTTAATTATTTAGATTCAATGGTTACATATTGATCTTATGTATAATTATTTTAAATTTTATTATTAAAAATTGCTTATTTCTCACCACTAGAAATACAGGAATGGACACTCTTATCATGCCTTCCTCAGGCTGTTTCTGCTGTCACGTATTAATTATTTTAGATTATCACCAAGAAATTTCTTGAGTCTATATGAAACTTGCCCTTCATCTCATATTGCCTTAACATCTTTTTTAGTAAAATATAAAAACAAACTAAGCAAAGATGATGCAAAGCAGCCAGATAGTTAAGTATTTATTGGTTAGCTTCCATGTAGTTTGTTCACTTCTTGATGTGAATTTCACAGGGTCTTACCAGTATAACGTCCCAGAGTCATTGCCAGTGGCCTCCGTGGTGGCCAGGATCAAAGCAGCTGATGCAGATATAGGAGCTAATGCTGAAATGGAATACAGAATTGTGGATGGTGACGGATTGGGAATTTTCAAGATTTCTGTTGACAAAGACACACAGGAAGGAATCATCACTATACAGAAGGTAACATTTCCTTTATTTTTATTTTCTGTGAAGGTAACACCACTGCCCATGCTGACAATCCATGTTTGCTTTGATGGAAGAACGTATTAAGACAAAGTAAATGACCATGTGGAATTGTTAATATTTTAACTTTAGGAAGAAAAGCTCTGCATTTTAGGTGTCAGAATCATAAAGAATCCTCAAGGACATTTGTAAACATGCCCCAACGGGTCTCTTCTGAGCAATCCCACAGCCCTTATCTGCTGTGTTATGACTGACAGTAGGCACATTGGCAAATGTACTGTTTTAAATGACCTATGTGGAGGGGCGCCTGGGTGGCTCAGTCTGTTAAGCATCTGCCTTTGGCTCAGGTCATTATCTCAGGGTCCCGGGATTGAGCCCC